TAGTTTGGAGGGAGTCATCTGTCATGTCTCCCTTGGACTGAAACCTTAATCACATTATTGGCAGGTGTATTTTTTTTTTTAATTTTTTTTTCAACGTTTTTATTTATTTTGGGGACAGAGAGAGACAGAGCATGAACGGGGGAGGGGCAGAGAGAGAGGGAGACACAGAATCGGAAACAGGCTCCAGGCTCCGAGCCATCAGCCCAGAGCCCGACGCGGGGCTCGAACCCACGGACCGTGAGATCGTGACCTGGCCGAAGCCGGACGCTTAACCGACTGCGCCACCCAGGCACCCCTGGCAGGTGTATTTTATAAATATATTTGTCTGTAGACATATAAGAAAAAAAATGGGTTCTTCAGCATTTGATTTTCTAGTTTATGTCTAACGAACATTGTAACAACTAGCAACCCTCCAAAAACACTCAAAAATACCCTGTTTTAAAAATTAGGACTTGAAGAAGTCATTTAGTCCCTTTTGCTGATGATAAGCCAGAACTTTCTTGTCAAAGGTTAGGGGGAAACTGTGAGGGGTCCTTAGGGATTGTCTATTCCAACCTAGTCTGTTCCCTTTCATAATAAGACAGAAACTCGGAGTTCATCATACAGAACATTTCCCTCATTGAGAAAAGTTCCCCATGCTTTTCTTATTATGCATTATTTTATTATCATGTCTACCTGCCATGTTAGACTAGGGTAAAAGTGAAGACAAAGTCAGTAGTCTTGACAAGTTTGATTTGGAATATTTTAAAAGTTGTGCCACTAAGGAACATAAATATTTCATGCGCGCAAACCTGTACATCTCATTTTAAAGACACTGGTGAACCACTGAACGTTCAGCCTGTACATTTAGGAAGTTAGCAAAAATAGCACTGTCTGGTAGCTAGAGAGCGTTTCATTAGTGATTATGCCTTGGCTGGATCAGGTTTCCAAAGTCTACCACTTGGGGTGGGGAAGGAGGTATATGCGTGAATCGACCCTCAGTCTATTTTCAGGCTATTTATTTTAATATTTTTTTTTAAGTTTTATTTTTAAAAAAAATTTTTCTGAGAGACAGAGAGACAGAGAGAGAGAGAGTGAGAGAGGGAGAGGGAGAGCGTGAGCAGGGGAGGAGCAGAGAGAGAAGGAGAGAGAGAGAAACCCAAGCAGGTTCTGTACAGTCAGCACGGAGCCTGGTATGGGGCTTGAGCTGAGATCACCACCTGAGCCGAAGTCAAGAGTCAGATGCTGAACCACCCAGACTCCCCTATTTTCAGGTGATTTTAATACTGAATTTACTCCTTGCTGACTGTTGTTGGTCTAGTTATGCAACTAGGAGACAAGAAGATACCAAGGATCGGAGGGAGTGGGAGGGACACCGGGTCCCTCAAGAAATGGTCATTAGTGCCTGGTCTTTATCAGGCGCTGTAGTAAGCAGGGGGGATTGCAGAGACAAAGAACAGTTTCTGTCCTCAAGATGATAATAACAACTCAGGATGGGAAGCAAACACAGACATGAATAAATACAATACGATGTTTTGAAATATGGTAGGAGAAGGTATAAGTCCTGCCAGTGTAGTAGCCTAGCGGGGTGGGGAGCAGGGTCAGGAAAATGGTCTTGAGTTGTCTTGAAAGATGGGTACGTATCTGCATGTGGCCCAGCACGGAGGACGGGGAAAGGTCTGAAAGGAGGGAAGACAGCAGGTGCAAAAGCATGGAGATAGAAACGGAATGGATTTGGGGAGCCACGAGTAGTGAGGTTTGACCAGCAATGAGTGTGGGAAGAGACGAAGCCGGAGAATTTGCCAGGAGGCAGCTCAAAGACGGCTGGTAAGGGGCGCCTGGGTGGCTCAGTCGGTTGAGCGTCCGACTTCGGCTCAGGTCACGATCTCGCGGTCTGTGAGTTCGAGCCCCGCATCGGGCTCTGTGCTGATGGGTCAGAGCCTGGAGCCTGCTTCCCCTTCTGTGTCTCCCTCTCTCTCTGCCCCTCCCCCGTCCATGCTCTGTCTCTTTCTGTCTCAAAAATAAATAAACGTTTAAAAAAATTTTTTTTAAAAAGATGGCTGGTAAGATGTGCTAAGGAGTCAGGACTTTATCTTACATAAATCACTGTAATAACAATTGTACTGACTCATATTGAGCACTTATTCTGTGCCAGGCATTGATCCGATCATTTTACGTGAATTGAATTCATCAATCTTTGTGACAACTCTGTAACATAACTATTATTCTGATTATTGCCCTCATTTTACAGATAAGGAAATCAAAGCACAGAGATGTTAAATAACTTGACCAAAGTCACACAGCTGAAACAAACAGTGAACCCAGAAATCATAACTGAGGTAGTCACATTCTTTGACCCCTGGTGTGTGTGCCTACCTAATGCTTTGGGAACTGTTTTTTTTTAGCAGAGGATGACATTACCAGATTTTAGAACAATGGCTCTGGAGGTCATGCGAAGCCCGGAGCTGGAGCACAGGTGGGGGTGGGCAGAGGAGGAAGGATCCAGGGAGACCAGGGAGACTTGTCAAAACCCCAGGAGAGAGGCAATGACTTTCATGCCCAGGGAATTCAGGAAGAGACCCAGAAACCCTTCCAAACCCAGGGAAGCTTGGCTTCCAGGGACCCAGCATATCTGACACTCAGAGAGGATTGCTTTTCATCACTGTCTCCTGCTCTGTGCAACAGTCATTTTCAGTAATAACCTTGAAATGAAACAAATGATAATGGCCAGATAAGAAACACAAATGGTGAAAATGTCCTTCTCTGGAAGTCTCATGTGTAATCGCACCAGTCAAGTAAATAAAAAAGATTTTTTTCGCACAAAAAAGAGAAAAGCGCAATGGGTTAGCATTTTAAATCATATTCGTACAGTTTTTGGAGAAAGGGAGAAAAATGTATTCCTACATATTAATCAAAGCAGAAGTAATGAGGGGCGCCTGGGTGGCGCAGTCGGTTAAGCGTCCGACTTCAGCCAGGTCACCATCTCGCGGTCCGTGAGTTCGAGCCCCGCGTCAGGCTCTGGGCTGATGGCTCGGAGCCTGGAGCCTGTTTCCGATTCTGTGTCTCCCTCTCTCTCTGCCCCTCCCCCGTTCATGCTCTGTCTCTCTCTGTCCCAAAAATAAATAAAAAACGTTGAAAAAAAATAAAAAAAAAAAAAAAAGCAGAAGTAATGAGCAAGTAAGAGGACCAAGTTGTTTCCAAGAAGCCCGTAAATCTATGAGGGAGGAGGAGCTTTAAACACACACTTGCTGTGTGAGAAGCGAGTGGTACAGCGGTGGTGTTTGGGCTCAGTGCTGAAGGATAAGCAGGAATTGCATCAGGGGACCTGGGAATGGGGCCTGAGGAGGGCACTCCAGGAGGATGGAATGGCATGGGGAACAGCATGGACTGTGTCAGTGACTGGTGGGACCGAACCCTGCAGATTCTCGGGTTGGCAGACCCGAGAGTCCTCTAGTGTGCAGGGCTGGACAGGACGACATTACAAAGCCTGGTGGGACCGCGGGTAGAGGGTTTTGCATGCTCTGGAGAATTTTTTCTTAGGAAGACAGATGGCAGTGTGGGAGGCAGAGAGTACCCTGTGCTCACGGGGGAGGCAGGAAGACCCAGTAAGAGGGAATAGGGCCCTGAACTCAGACAGAGGTGGCTGGAACAGAAAGCAGGAAACAGGGGCTCCAAGTGGCTAGGTGGGTTAAGCATCTGCTCAGGTCACGATCTCACGGTTCGTGAGTGTGAGCCCCTCTTCGGGCTCTGCGCTGGCAGTGCTGAGCCTGCTTGGGATTCTCCCTCTCTCCCTCTCTCTCTGTTCCTCCCCTGCTTGTGCTCTCTCTCTCAAAATAAGTAAGCAAACAACAACAAAAGCAGAAAACAGTGTCAAGATGGGTAGGCACCTGGGCACAGGCATCCACAAGGGCGCCAGGTCCTAAGCCTGAGTTTCAGCCTTTACCAGCTTCCAGTTTGTTTTTTGATGTACTCCAAGAGCCCAGCAGGTGTGCTGTGGGGGTGTGTGCATGCGTGCACCCCCCCCCCACACACACAGTAGGTGCTGTAAGTGACACCAAATGGCACCTTGCACATTGTCTGCTAAAAAAAAAAAGGTGTGCTCTTGAGACAGTAGCTCCAAAAATGCCCTTTAGGAAGGGTGACCGTAAATCCTGGTTTTCTGCCAACAAGATGGGCTTAAATCAGACCAGGCAAATTTATTAATAGCGTTCCTTTTCGCTCCTAAAAGTATTCTGCTTTTGGTGATCAGTTATATGGTATTACTACCTTTGGGTGACCCCTCTCCAAGGGGTACCATTGTGCCTTCCCAGCTCGGTTTGTGGAATACTGACCGTGGTGAGCACGGGACGAAATCCTGGACCTCATTTCTGTCTGGACCAACCCATCCCTCCATGCCCCACCCTGGAAAAAATTCCCCTTCAGGCCTGCAGAAGAATTACCGGGATGGCAACCTTGAGAGAGGGAGCAGAAAGAGTACTGGAATGAGACTCCGAAAATTAGATTCTATCTCTAGCTCTGCCCCCAAACAAGCTGTGCAGCCTCAGGCAAGGCGTTCTCGTCTCTGGGCCCCAGGGTCCTCAGGTGGGAAGCAAGAGGGCTCAGCCAGATGGAAGGCCTCTACCGTGTCTTTGAGCCCTTAAGTAATTCTCAAAGGGCCCACTTTCCGGAAGCGGGTAATATAAGGCACCTCCCAGGATCTCCCACCCTCCCCTGAGCATCCCCGCCGGCCCCAGCTCTGCGCGGGTCGCATGGCTCTACTTTTTAGTGCCCCGGGGTGTGACCAACTTCGCAGGTTCTTGACACACAAAAGGCTCTCAAAGCTAGTCCTACAGCAGCGGGGTCCTGGACACGACAGCAGTGAAACACAGACCGGTACAGCTGCTCCCATCCCTCCCACCCTGTGCCCACCCACCGGGAGGGCTGCGAGGCCCCTGCGGACCCAGCTCCAGCCCACTCCAGTCGCTCCCCCGCCAAGCGTGGCAAAAGGCCTTGTGCCTGCTTGTCTGTTTTGTTGGTTTTACCTTAAATCCCTCATCCCAGCCCTTCTTGGGCGCGGGGACGCGTGTCTGGTCCTCAGCAGCCTGGGAAGGTCCGCAGCCCATGCCGCGCGCTCCACCTCCGGCCGGGCCTCCAGGTGCGCCCCCGGGGATCGCTCCCTGCCGCGCCCCTGAACCTCACCCCGCCGCCCCCTCCCCTGCGCCCCGCGTCCTGCACCGTGCCCCTGCGCCCTGCGCCCGTGCCCCTGCGCCCCTGCACCCTGCGCCCGTGCCCCTGCGCCCCAGCACTCTCCCACTTGCGGCACTGAAAGCCTGGGCTGGAGGCGCTCGGCGTCTGGGCAGTTGCCGGGAACTGTTGCCACAATAAACCGCATCAGCGGACCTGGGACTTTTGTAACTGGAAACTGGAAGGCCGGAGGCGTCTAAATCACACCTAGGACGCAACTTGCAGCCCTCTCCGTTGAAAAGTGAAGGGTGAGGGGCGCTCACTGCTGGGCGATTAGTCTTTAGAGAACCGTAGTCTTAAGCATCCTGCGGGACCTGTTATTTGTCCCTTTCTAAGGCACCGTGGGACCCTCCTGCTTCTGTGCTGCGGAGGCTGGGGACTGTGTGGCCAGCCGCTGCTGAGCGAAGGGGGGCCGTGGAGCTGGCCGGACAGCCCCAGACGACAGTGTCACGGGCCCACCTCGGGGAGGACGGTCACACAAACAGAAACCCGCACAGTGAAGAAAAGCGGGCATTAGGACCCTCACAGCTCAGCGGCCCCGAAATGGGTCATGCAAATCATTTTTATGGAAGCCACATTTTGTGAGCTGCTACATGGTAAGGAAATGCGTTCTCAGAGAGCTAAATAAAAAATGCCGCAACCCACCAGGCAAGGCGGACCAGGAAGACTGCCGCACTGAGCAACAGGTCCTTTCCTGGATTTTCCCACCCCCCCCCCTTTTGTCCTATTTTTGATTATTTTTTCAATTTTCAATAATTAAAAAAAAAGTGAGAGGGATCTTAGACATCATCTACCAACTCCCTATTTTACAGGCTGTAAACCTAGGCTCAGAGAGGCTGAGTGGTTCAGATTGGGGTGGGGAGGCTAGTCAACGAGGGATCTGGAACCAGGAACCAGGTGGCCTGGTGGCAGGATTCTGACACAGGGAGTCGGGACACGGAGGCCTTTCTTTCCAGGAAGCAACTTTATTTGAGCCAGCACCACTCGGTTGGGTTCCTACCCTAAGAACTGAGCCCCCAACAGCCAGGTGGCCTAGTTTTTTTAATATATTTTTTACTTCTTTGTCTCCCACATACGGTAACACACAAATATGTAGTCTGATTAAGTGGTCTCATATTACAGGGTGGTGATGGATGTTGTCACATATGCGTATAACCAGGTTGCCTTGAGGTCTTTTTTTTTTTTTTTCCTTTCCTTAGGGAGGGTTCCCTACAACAGCCTGACTCACTCCCATGAATCAGCAACACCAGGAAAATCCTAGTAAGAATTTTTGGAAATGTAAAAATCCTGGATCCTTCCAGGGAAATTACTGGTCCGTTCTATTACAGGTGCTGATTCTTTGGGTTATAGCGTTTAAACTCCTTTCGCTGCCTCTCTTTACTGGTTGGATGATGTTGCCCATCAATTTTCCTTTTACTAACATTGAGAAAAAAGAGGAAATATCGGATGAAAATCAAGTCAAAGCCTTAGGATTATTGAGCAAGGAGCATTACAGATTTGTGAATGAAGAGTTGAAACAAGGCTCAGATGGCATTTGGGGTTCTTTCTCTGAAAGAATGAACTCATGGGTGTAACAAGTCACATGAAACGTTCCAGCTGGAAACTGAAAAACTCTCAACCAGAATAAGCCAACACAAGACACCAAAGAAATGTTCTCGAGAAAGTTTAGTGAAAGTTTACAGGATGAGCTGTGTGAGGTTTTTTTTTTTTTTCTTCTAAGGCAACCTGTGAACAGAGACTTGATAGGACATGGGTGTGAATAAATGGGGTGGAACCCACATGTGTTGTGTAAGTGTGTCTGGAAGCATCCTCTAACTGCGGTCCACAGTTGTGAAAATTCTCTTTTTCTAGCAATGTGCGAGAGCTTGCGTGTACTGCCTCATGAGAGCTGATTTTCAGGAATATTTGGGCCTAGCTGTTAAAATACAATCATTATTAAAAATGAAGTTATGTAATACAATAATAATATGTAATGCATACAATTAAATTAGTTGTATTTATTTATTTATTTTTTCAATGTTTTATTTATTTTTGGGACAGAGAGAGACAAAGCATGAACAGGCGAGGGGCAGAGAGAGAGGGAGACACAGAATCAGAAACAGGCTCCAGGCTCTGAGCCATCAGCCCAGAGCCTGACACGGGGCTCGAACTCATGGACCGCGAGATCGTGACCTGGCTGAAGTCGGACGCTCAACCGACTGCGCCACCCAGGCGCCCTAAATTAGTTGTATTTAAAATGAAGGTAACGAACACAACTCACCAGTTCCTAATTATTTTACTACAGTTTACTCTTGGGCGCCTGGCTGGCTCAGTTGGTTAAGTGTCCCACTTTGGCACAGGTCATGATTTCACAGCTGGTGAGTTCAAGCCCTATGTTGGGCTCTGTGCTGATGGTGGGGAGCCTGCTTGGAGTTCTCTCTCTCCCTCTCTCTCTGCTCCTCCCCTTTGTGTGCACTTGCTCTCTCTCTCTCTCAAAAAAATAAATAGACTTAAAAAAATAAAACAGGGGCACCTGGATGGCTCAGTCAGTTGAGCATCGGATTTCGGCTCAGGTCATGATCTCGCTGTTAGTGAGTTTGAGCCCCGTGTCAGGCTCTGTGCTGTCAGCTCAGAGCTTAGAGCCTGCTTTGGATTCTGTGTCTCCCTCTCTCTCTGCCCCTCACTCATGTTCTGTGTCTCTCTCCTTCAAAAATAAATAAACATTAAAAAATAAAAAAAAAACCAATTTACTCTTACGCTTCTGAATATATTGGTCATATCTGTGTGCTGTGCTACTGTGGGTCTCTTTCCAACTCCACATCCGGTGACATCACTTCCGTAGTTTGAAATCAGTCAAGGTGGGAATACAGACACCGTGAAAACTGATAAAAGCTACCAATCAGGGCTTTCTGCCTCCCCACCTCCGGCCCCTGGAGTTGGCTATTAAACATCTATCAGCACACCACTGCCTTTTCCCTTATATTCCAGAACACCAAGGAATAGCTCTGCTCTGCTTATCCTTTCCTGATTTCTGCAGTGAAGTGACCTCGGTCACCCCCAGCCCCAGCCACGGGAGGTATGTGGATATCATTTCTCCGTCCCCCTTCACCCTGGAGCTCTGCACTGAGGCTCTGTGCTGCTGGCCCATAATGATCATTCTCTGGTCTTGGATAACTTGTTTCCACTTTGAAGGCCATGTGAGAAAGCCTTTGATCTTCAACAAAACAGGGCCATATCGCTTGCCCAGTTTTTTAAAGTAAGCTCTACCCCCAAGGTGGGGCTTGAACTTACCACCCGAGATCAAGAGCCACATGCCCCACAGACTGAGGCAGCCAGGTGCCCCATCACTTGCCCATTTTAAAGTTTGACCACCAGCCTTGGTTTTCCTCTTCAGTTTTGAATAATCTCAAGATGGCCAGCTTTCCATTTCCCTATGGAATTTAAGCCTGAGGTTTGACCTGAGCTCTTTCTTCTCTGGGGTGTTGAGGATATTGGAAGGACTGGTTGAGGATATGGGAAGGACTGGTGCCTCTCAAACTATAATGTGCACACCCTGGAGACCTTGTCAAAAATGCAGATTCCTATTCAGTAGGTTTAGGGCAGGGCCCAAAGACTGCTTTTCTAACAAGCTTCCAGGCCACTGCTGATGGAGGGTCACGCTTGGAGTAGGAAAGGTATAGAACACATGTGGATGTTGAGCCATTACTTCAGAAGACAGAAAGGAAAAATGGAAGGAAGGAGAAAGAATTGAAGAGGAAAAGTATGGAGGCAGTGACATCAAAGTCCATAGTTCATTTTACTCCCATCTGGGAAGGACCTTTACACAAAAAGTTACAAACTAGGAACACGACCAGCTTCCTTCTCATCCCTCTTCTCCGGTGCACGATGGGTGTCTGTGAGTAACTGGGTTATGGTGAGGAAGAGAAGAAAATCCTTACTCGCTGTCACCCAAGCTCTGGAGTTGGATATTTTTCCTCTTCTGTTCGTTCTGAGATAGTTACCTTTCCAGGGATGGTGGGTAAACCAGACGGCAGAGTTAGGTGTCTCTCTGTGGCACTCAGAGCATTAGTGCATGAGGGCAGGGTCGGTACCAGGCAGCTGCAAGGTTTCAGGTTGCGGTGACTAGAAAAATTATGTGCGGACCTTCATTCCCAAACATGTCCCAAAGACTGATTAGTATAATCATAAATGATTATACTAATTTGTTTTAATGTGTATTTACTTTTGAGCGAGAGAGAGACAGAGCGTAGGCAGGGGAGGGGCAGAGAGAGGGAGACACAGAATCCGAAGCAGGCTCGGAGCTGTCCGCATAGAGCCTGATGTGGGGCTCAAACCCATGAACCATGAGATCGTGACCGGAGCTGAAGTTGGCCACTTAACTGACTGAGCTACCCAGGCACCGCTGACATTTTTAAAAAAGATTTATTTATTTATTTTTGAGAGAGAGAGAGAGAGAGAGAGAGAAGTGGAGGAGGGGCAGAGAGAGAATCCCAAGCCAGCTTCACATGGTCAGCGCAGGGCCCCACATGGGGCTCGAACCCATGAACCATGAGATCACGACCTGAGCTGAAAGTCAGATGCTTAACCAACTGAGCCACCCAGGAGCCCCATGGTTGACATTTTTGAGTGCTTGCTAAGAATTAGGTACGAGAGGGAAGCTGATGGCTCTGTTGGTATTTCTATTTTATTGCTATTTTATTAGTCAGTTATTGGCTTAAAGTATGGATTGGAAAACTATGACCCACAGGCCAGATCTTGATAAAGACAGACACGCCTGTCTTTATCAGACATATGAGCTAAGAATGGCTTTTATACTTTTAAACGGTGGAAAAAAATATGGGAAAAAATTTTTAAAAAGAAGAACATTAATTAGTAATTTGTGACAATTATACGAAGCTCAAATTTCAGTGTCCATAAATAAAGTTTTATTGGAACGTAATCAGCCCCATTTGTTTACATATTATCTAGGG